AGTGGCATCTGGAATGGACAGAGGAGGGCAATGAAAGGACCCTTGTCTGAGCCATTTCTGTATCATTTATGAAATAAAGGGAGAATTTACCACTCTGCTTGTAGCACCGCACTCCTTTACCAGCCCTGTGAGCTTGAGATGTGCAGACTGTGATAAACAAATCTAACTGTATTACAAACGTACAATATGACCTCGCAGACGGGGATGGGAGTAAAGTGCCGACTTAAGCCAGTTCTGAAGTGACCAAAGGCGAAAGGAACGACTCATCATCACTGGACTCTCGTTGGTAAAATTGCCTCTCACGGGGGAACAGATGAACTACTGGGAAACTACTGCACACATAGACTGGGACTGAACAAATAAGTAAAGGGATGGCAGGTGGTGGGAGCCAGGATTCTCACTGTTGGAAAGGGTGGTTACAGATAAGCAATGGGGGGTGGGTAGAGACTGAAATAAATGAACCATGTGATAACGACATTGGAGATGTCAACAGGAACTCATGTTTAGCTTAATATAGACACAGATGGGCAGATATAGAGATATGAATGTGTGTATCCATATGGGTTGGTACACACACACACACACACACACACACACGTTTTCTTGCTCTGTCCACTGCGAGGGGCTAGAGGCAACAGCATCCCAGCAGCAGCAAGCACACCTAGCGTCCAGGTGTTCATTCTCCAATGAAGGAGCCAGGGCTTCTTAGAGACACAGCCCATTCTAGCACTGGGGCAGGGAAAACACAAGATGAGGCTGAAGTGTCTCATGCTACCAGAAAGTTAGGAAGCACAAAACAAAACTCAGCAATGGGTATATGTCAAAAGTACCCAGAAACCAAGTGAAATTAAATGATTGCAGATAAAACAACTCGAGCAACAAAATAAAGCAGTATTAGATATAACCTCAAACATAAAATAACTATATAATAAATTACATCTAAATATAATATAGAAATACAGTATACTTGAATAAGTAATTGAATAAATAAATAAATGGGAGAGAATAGACAAATCTCCAGGAGAGAGAAATGCCCAATAATTTACGCAGGTATTTCTCCATTCAAAGGATGGAGCAACTCCCCACTCCTTAAGTGGAGCCTTCACACGGTGACTTCTCTCTTGAGGACAGTATAGGAAAAGGAGAAACCAAGCCTCAGACATTAGCAGGCATCAGAATCGCCTGGGGGAGCTAATTAGGGCACAGATCCTGACCAGCTCCCCGTTTCCATTTCAGAAAGGTCTGGAGTGGGGCTGAAATTTGCATTCCTTACAAGTTCCCAGGTGATGCTGCTTCTGCAGGTCCAGGGAGCATGCCAGGCAGTGCTTCCCACACCGCGGCTCTTCAACATCACCTGGGAACTTGGGAGAAATGCAGATTCTCAGACCTGACTCCAGCCCCTCTGAGTCAGGAACTCTGAGGATGGGACCCAGCAAGTCTGTGTTTCAACCAGCCCTCCGGGTGATGATGCCTGCTAAAACGTTTCAGAACCACTGGTCTAGGGCGCACAGAGAATCAATATTTACTGTTTCTAGCACCTGGATTGTTTGCAGGGATGTTTGAGAAGTTAATGAAAGAGTGTGCTTGTCTGTAAAATAGGTGCACATTCTATTTTTCCTGGTTGCAGTGCCGTGTATCCACAGTCCCCTGTAGCGGCTCTCATTCACCTTGGTCAGCAGAGGACCACAGTGAGGGGGAAATACACCGACTGTCCGGTCTTCCCACCCCTCCCCCACCCCAGTTGGAATGATCAGATGGCAGCTGAGCTGAGCAAGGGCAGATGGGGTCCTGCCTGGGCAGACCTGTCTAGATGCTAGGTTCCAAATTTAGATGCACCTGCATTTGGGATTAACCTCATGGGATCAGTCTCACCTCTGCTTCATTTAGCCGTAAACTGGAAACCAGAATCTGGTTTCAAAGCAACTAGTACACTCAGAAAGACTCCTGACTTGAACAAGTCTCCAGGAGTGCATGAGGCTCTAAAGAGGAGCCCTGGGATAGGCCTCTGGGGATGGGCTAGAAATGGGAGGCAAGGCCAACAGAGGAAAAAAGTCAGAGGGGCTGGGTTTACAAGGAAACTGACACACACACACCCCTCTATCCTCCCTCCAAGATAGTGGTTCTCAGCCCAAACTGCACGTTAACATCACCTGGGGAACTTTAAAAACCCTGATGGCCAGGCTGCACCCCAGACCAATGACAGATTCTCTGAGGCTAAGATCTAAGCAACAGGAGTTTTCAGAGTTCCCCAGGTAATTCCAATGTACAGCCAAAGTGGAAACCAACAGTTCTGGGGATTACACCCATTATTCTTTTTTTAAAATCTATCTTGATAACATTCTGCTTCATCTCCAATTGCTTTTGCCCTTAATTCCCCCATAAAATGTGTTACGAGGCAACCTGGCAAAAAGACAAGCCTGAACATACCTTTTGTAAGTGGGCAACTGGGCACCATTTATTAAATACTTTAAGTATGTTTAAAATACGTTTATCTCTTCAATTTCATAAACAGAGATCTAGCCTGAAGAAATATTTGCACATGTCCACAAAGATACAAGGCTGCTGACTGCAATTGGTAACAGCATAAAATGGAAAACAATCAAAATGTCTATCAATCAATGATACCTGACATATTCTTAAATTTTGCAGTCCTAAAGAAAGAATGAGGCCAATCTGTACATACAAATATGAGGTCAGAGACGCCCAGGCAGAGGGGACAGCCTGTGCAGAGGCTCTGGGGTGAGAGTGTGTGTGGCATGTGGGGGGCACATAAAGGTGGCCAGTGAGACTGAAAAGAGCAAGGCATGGGAGATGCAATTAGGAAGATGCAGCAGCTGAACAGTGGTCCCAAAGAGATATGTCCACGTCCTAATCCGCAGAACCTGTGAATGTGAGCTTATTTGAAAAAAAAAGGGGGTTTGCATACATAATTAAGTATCTGGGGTTGAGAAGATTATCTTAGATTATCTGAGTGGACCCTAACCCAATGACAAGTGTCCTCATTAGGGACATACATTCCTTCCAATGTTATCACATACAGAACGAAAGTCAGTCTGCATGTTTTATGTTTCAGATAAGCTGATGCAACTGTAAGCTTGGGTGTAATTCTTTGCTAAGGTATCGGCACTGACTAGGTCCATTGAAAACAAAATCTATTCACCGAAAGTCTACGGTAAAAGGGGGTGCTTGTATAACCTTAAAGACTTACTTTATTTAGATTCCCCAAATTCTCAAATATGAAAATTACGCATCCAGTGTGGCAGTTTCCACTAAGAGGAAAACTGTCGTGTTCTCTACGGGATTCGGTTCACTTTCATTGGAGACATACTCAACAATTATGTTACCCTCGGAGGGTGCGAAGAAATAGAGATGTAAACTAAATAAAGCTTTAATCATGGAAAAAAAATTAAGAGACATATAGTGGAGATGGATACAGAGGAGGCGGCAAAGTGAAGATGGTGGCAGAGACTGGAGCTACGTGGCCATGAGCCCAGGCATGCTGGGGCAGCCAGCCCAGGCGAAGAACGGGTCTTCCCTAGAGCTTCTAGAGGGAGCTCGGCCCGGCTAGACCTTGATTTTGGACTTCTGGCCTCCAGAACTGTGAGAGAATACATTTCTATTGTTTCAAGCCAGCAAGCTTGTGGTCATTTGTCAAGTCACAGAGACCACATTAGAGGCCTTCAGTGATCTCACAGGACACAGTAAGGACTTAGTTTTCATGACCCACATGAAAGTCAGGGGAGAGTTTTGAGTAGAGAAGTGACCAGATCTGATCCATTTTCTAACAAGATTGCTTTGGCTGCTGTTACAGAATAAATTACATAGTTCTGAGTTCCTCAAAATTTTTTTTGTAACCAAACTGCAATTTGTCTTCTAATTTAAAGAAGAATATGAATTTAAAAAAATTTTTTAAAAGGAATAGATTGTAAATTAATAAATATTTCACAAAATGATGAATAAATACAAGCCTTTAAAAGCTGAATCACTATGCTGCCCACTAGAAATTAACACAACATGGTAAATTGACTACACTTCAAAAAAAAGAAAAGAGAAGGGAAAAGCTACCCTGAGAGACCAAAGCTGGCCAAGGAGTCTCTCCCAGCCTCACCTTCTGGTGCCAGGCTTCAATCACCAAAAGGTCCACGGTCCTGGTAGTGGACCAGCTCCCTCATCAGGATGGCAAAACTGTAAACATCTCCCTTCGCGGTGCTGGACCAGAGCACCTCTGGGAGCCGCAGCAGCGCTGGGGCCGGCTGGTAGGGCTCTGCAGAGCAAAGGATGCCAGAGGGAGGTCAGCGCGGAGTGAGAGCTGCCGGGCGGGACCGGAAAAGCCAGCCCTTCTTTCTCGGGGAAGAACAGGAGCAATGAAGGCATCCAACCCCCAAGAAGTCGGCCTGCTGGGGCCTGACTTTAAAGAGCAAATGGGGGTCCGTGTGTGTGAATATGGAGAAAATGGCCAGGCCGGCCGTGCGCTGGCAAGTTGACAGCAGCTGACTCACGACTGTGCAATTACAGGTGGTTTTCTTTCCCTTTTCCCTTTCTGTGAGGCCTCCTTTAAAACATAATTTATTGAGACACGATTCATAGAACATAAAACAAGTCACTTTGAAGAGAACAACTCCGTGGCATTTAGTACATTTGCAACACTGTACAACCGCCACCTCTATCTAGTTCCAAAACATTTCTGTCATCCCCCCAAAGTAAACCCTTGTGCCCACTGAGAGGTTCTCCCCCTTTCCCCACCCCCAGCCCCTGGCAACCACCAATCTGCATTCTGTCTCTTCAGATTCATCTTATTCTGGATATTTTATAAACGTACATTTACTTTGCAGCGATGTTCACAGTTTATGTCATTATAGGTTATAACCATGAAAAGAAAATATGTGGGGGGTTGGGAAAACAGAAGTGGCTACTAGTAGGTTTTCAAAACGTCCCCCTGTCTTTTTCTGTAAGATGCCATCCTGCCCCCACATTACAGAAGCTCCCCAACACGCACACAGCGAAACTGCTGACACTGTGCTGCCTCAGATGGAGGTGGGCAGGGCTGAGGGCACTGGGCGCAGCAGGGCCGGGACGCTGCGAGGTGAGACTCGAGGGTGTTGAAGCAACTTAGCCAAGCCGAGTCACCCCGTCTCAGTTTGCGCACGTGTAAAGGAGGGCTGGGTTCCAGGTGGTGGGTCTTGTCTTGACATGCACATCAGAATCACCTGAGAGCTTTTAAAAACAATATAGATACCCAGACCCCATCGTCACAAATTCTGATTCCGTAGGCATGGCGTGGGACCCAGTCACCTACATATTTTTTAAAGCTTCCCAAGTGATACTGGAGCACAGAGACGATGGAGAGCTGCTAAACTCATCATCTGCAAAGTGCCTGGCAGACTGTGCGTTCTCTGTGAGCACACAGATGAAGATGTGGGGAACTATGGAGGACTAAAGAGATGGGCAGGGACTCACTTCAGGTCACCCCGCTAAGCCAGGCTGAGAACTAGTCTCCAAACTCAGACGTCCCACAGTGGATTCATGCCACACCCATGGGGGCTATTTTTTTCTCGTCTTCTTGGGTGAACATAATAACCACATGCCATCAGCTCCAGAGGAAGAGAGGAAGACCCACCTGCATGTGCTGTGCAGGTGAGCACCACAAAGTGAAGGTGGGTGAGACAGCCCCTTACCACCCTGCTGACAGCCAGTGTGTAAGGAACTGCCAGCGGTTACCCGAGGGGTCCATTGTTTTCTCATCACACGTTCTGTGTGTCTGGCCGTACCTAGTTCCCACAGCCCGAATCCTGACAGCTTCACTGCATCTGACCGTCCACCAGGAACACTTGAGGTTACCGTGGGACCCCAGTGGGCTCCTGTGGAGGAACAGCATCCCCTGAAGAGTGAAAATGAGCAAATGAATTAGAGCAGGTGCCAATGGATGCTGCTGGAACAGAGCCCAAGAGACAGACGGACAGACACAGATGGACCCATGGCAGGAGACACACCCATCTCTGTGTTCATCTGTTCAAGAGCCACTAACACAGTCCCTCGCCCACAGGTTCAACCTGGGCAGGGACACCCCCCAAAAAAGAAAACTATTTCTGGTCTCTTAATGTAGAGTCATGAATGCAAGGCCAGCTTAAAATAAATGAGGTTAAGCTGTGCCTGGACCTGTTAAGCTGTACCTGGACTTCTGATCCATGGAAACTGAGATAAGTTTGTGTTGTTTTGAGCCACAAGTCTGTGGCCATTTGTTACACAGCAATAAAACACCAATACACTTGGCCTACATGTGAAAAAAAAATGTAGCCTCATGGTCAGACTCCTGTGTTCAAATCCCAGCTTGACTGCATAGTAGAGGGCAAGTTTCTTTATCCTGTAAGCTTCATTCTTCTCATTAAAATGGAAATGACGGTAGCCCTCACCTCACACGGTGGCTGTGGACATTAAATGCAATAATGCACGTGAGACACCAGACATGGTGCCTGACACAAAGTAAACACCATTGTAAGTTATAATGAAAATTTTGTATAAATATAATAAAGAATATTAACACTATAGAAACAACACTATGCAGTTAGGAATATTATTTTATTACCTACATACTACAGATTATATTCTATTAGTACCTACATATAATGATTCTATAATAATAGAATAGTAATATATTATTACATGCCCTTAAGGGTCCTGTGTGAACACTTCACAGGGAGAGGCAAAAACATGAAGAATACTGAAAAATTCTCATGTCATTCACTGTGTTCTTCAGAGGTTACATCAATTATTTTTCTGCAATGATGAAGTACCATTATTTAAAAAGAGGGCAGAAAGAACTTTAGTGTCAGAATATGTATTCAGGTCTAGACTTTACCACTCAGTGTCTTCAAACAAATCACTTCACCTCACTGGGCCTTGATTTGACCACCTGTGAGATGGGTCTGCCAAGACTACTGCTACTTGAAAGATGTCCCAGGGACCAGGAGGCTCAGCATTGCCAGGAGCTCGGCAGAAATGCAGCATCTCAGGCCCTGCCCAGACATGCCGAGTCAGACTGTGCATTTTAACCCGATCCCCAGGAGATGTACGTGCCTATTACTCTGAGAAGACCTGTCCTTATCAGCTGTTCCCGGTCTTGGCTGCACATTCAAATCGCTCAAGGAGCTTAAGAAGAATACACCAATGCTTGGCCCAAGCCCAGGAAGCTCTACGAGCTGCAGATGGCGTATCAGACAAGCCAAGCCTGGGTGCAGAGGAAGCCAAAGGCAAGAGAGTGACCAGAATGGCGGGAGCCGCTTGATTGGAGAGGCTGTAGTGACTTTTCGGTGACTATTAGTTCCTTTCAAAGAACGTGGGCAGAGTGATCGGCCTCAGGGGGCCTACACGCGCCCTGGCCGGGTTCACTGTGACTCCCTTCACACGATCCCGTAAGCTGCACACTCCACTTCAGGAGACAGCGCGCCTGCCAAAGCAGCCTGTCCAGCTGTCCCCTGCTCCTCTGGTATGGAGCAGAGGACAGACTCAGAGACCCAGAATGGCCACCAGTGAGATTTCCCCCTTCAAAGTGTCGTTCGTACCTACCCCAGCACTTCTCCAGAGAAACCTCTGAGCTAGTTCTTTCTGAGAGTCAAATGCCCCCACTGAAAAGGCTAAATCTACTAGGCATGCATACTGCGGTGAGAACTTACTAGCTTTCTCTTTACATCCAATATAAATGATGCCAACTGTTTTGACTGAGGCAGGAGACTGGTCACGGAAGTCTAGAGTACTTTCCTGGGCTGGGTGGGAAGGGAAGGGAAAGTGGGTGAAGAAAAAGAGAGGAGCCCAGAGCAGGAGGGGAAGTCACATCTGATCGTCCCATTTTATACTGTTTCACTGCCATTTAAATCGTTTCCTATGCACATTTCTTGACTTTTAAATTTTTTTCCCTCTAGTTCAATTTTAAGCCATTCAGAAATGGAAACAAGCCCTTGTCTTCCTGTGAAAGTGCCCAGAGTGGAACCAACTCTTAACAGACACTCAATAAATTTTTACTGAACTAACAGTGGTGGCTCAGGGTTGTCCATGGAGACCCAATCACAGGGAGGTTTCTGTTTGTCTACCTCACTCGGTAACAATATATTGGCTTCCCACTAAGGCCTAGGAAATCAAAGTCTAACGGGGTCACTAACACTCAGTTCCTTAGACACAAAGAGCAGTTAAATCCTTGAGGAAGAAAAGTCTTCCCATGTCATTCAGGCCAACATCACCCACTAAACCTACATGGAGGCTGAGTGAGGTCCAGAGAGGCCCAGAGAGGGGAAGTGACTTGTCACAGTTACTCAGTGAGTCACCGGCCCTATAACCCAGGAGGGCAGAACTTATGTTTCACCTAGGTATCCCTCACAACACCCAGCCAGGGTCTTTCCCATAGGAATCTACTGGCTGATGGATGGGAATGCCGATTGATGTATGGACTGCTGACTGACAGACGACAACCAGTCTCGTCCTGCTGCCATGCGTCAGAGTGAGGGACTTCCTCACCGGGACCCATTCCTAGGTCACTGGCGTGGTCCCTTCTAATGGCAAAAGCAGATTCACTGAGCTTAGGAAGAGCAGCTGGATTTCAGCCCAGGGCGAGGAGAGCATCCTCAGAATGCGGGTCCATACGGACACAACCCACCCGACTCACTTCCCATCTGTGCAACAGGGATCGGAACAGACCTACCTTATATCTTATTGTGAGAATACGTAAATTAATGTACACAAAGTGCTAGACAGTATCTGAGCCAAAGCAAGCGCTAAATCTGTTTTAGTTATTATTAGTAGCAGTACTATTCCCACCAGTCTTCTTTACAACCATCTTAAACCCTCTTTGCAAAGACAGACTCACCTGCTGGTTTCCCTTTTCAGGTGTGCATCCCAAGTCCACCTCTTAGGGCAACAGCTCTGTGGTTACTGGGGCAGTGACCCCCGTTCTCTGGGGAAAGGAATCATGGATGAGGGAGAAGGAAGGGGTGTTAGGAGTCTCCCTCCCCAACTCACTTTATGGGCTAGTAATTAGATTTTCTTTGGGGTAAGAAGTCCCACCTTCAAACGTAAATACTCTGTTCTTTCCTGATTAGGTATCCCTTTCAACTTAAGTGTAAAATACTTAACTCTCTTGACATTTACTTGAGATCAGGGAGGATGAAAATGATGGAAACTGTGATGGAAGAGGTGGATTTCAGAAGTGGAATTATGTTGTTTGAAGAGATGTGAGGAGGATCAGAGTGTTCAGGAAAGACCACAGTTCATCCAAGACACAGAACTCAAGAACACTATAGTGTCTCTTCCTTACACAAGTTTACGCGATACTCACATTGACTCTGGCATATGCAAATGAGAGCTTGAATATCCAATCCATTTCATTGTCTGAGTTTCTCAAAACATCCTGAAAGACACAGTCATTCAAGACATCACCAGTGACTCAACTGGAAGCACAGTGAGTGTCATACTTTCAGTGGATTTGATTCTAATGCATTGGATGACGCTGAGCAGAACTGAGGCCAAGCACTCTGAATCTAGTAACTGGAAGTCTTCCTGGGAGAAGCCATAACCTGACTCAATATTGAGAAAGCCACGCAGTCTTGAGTTTTATAAACACTTCCTTGTTCCTGATGGTCACATACCATGGGGAGGCTGGGCCCAGGAACACAGCTCAGAAGTAGTTATGACATCTTAGGGCATGAAACCAAGCTCAGACTATTTCCACCCAGAACGAAGAAACCAGGCACTCGGCAACCACACTGCTAATTTGATCCCCTGCAGGCGGCCCAACGAGACAATTCAGGTCTTGAAATCAGACCAGAGAAGAACTGCTCTTGGACGAAGGGGAAAAAGCATTGATAGGCTTCTTTGTCATCTGCCGCTAACTGAATGTGAGGTAAGATTTACTGTTTTGCTTAACTTAAGACTTCCTTTTTTGCAATACTCGGTGACAATGCAGATGTTGGGTGGTTCCATGTAAACACCAAAGAAGGGCACAATGTTTTCGTGCCTTAATTCACACATCTGAAAAGAATGTAATGGTAATAACAGCTTACGACTATAGTCTGTCTTCTGTCCTAGGGACTATGCTCTGTGCTTTACACGTTTTCAGCTACTTTTCACAAAGGCCCTGTGAGAGAACTACGACTGCTTCCATTTTACAGATGAGGAAACTGATGCTCAAAAGATAAAGTTTTGTGTGAAAGTTCATACCACTTCTTAGTGGCAGAGCTGGGAGGTAAATCCAGGCAGTCTGCCTCCAGCAAACAAACCAAAGGAATGATCAACGCACCCCAAAGTAATGGGGCTTAACTAAAACCATGGGGTGAGAAGCGGATCCCGTGAACCCAACTCCCCGGGAGGACCAGGTCCTGGGGAGGTGAGTCACAGACACAAAGAATGAAGAGGCAGAATTAAGATCAGGAAGAATTAAAGGCAAAGGACAGGCTGTGTTGCGAGATCCAGGGTTCAGGTGCCTGGGTCGGGTCAGGTATAAGGGTCTGAGGTCTTAAGTCTGGGGGTAGGGCTCATGGGCCAGGTTAAGGGAAGCAGCTTCCCATTGATGCCCTTGGGAGTGAGGACCACTCCCACCCCAGGTGGGAACGGGGAGCTGACAGGGAGCGGCAATGCTTTGTCTCCTCCCAGGAAAGGAGGCCTCACCAGCAGGATTTCCTGCCGCACGGACGGCTTCCTGACCCAGGCTTCTGCTTGGTCACCAACACAGCAGATGGCCACGTGCTTTCCCTGGAACCAGAGACAGAGTGGAATGATCTTAACCCAGGATGATCCAGAAAAAGCTACACTCAGAAAGAGCTAGGAAGGGGCGCAGGAAGGCTGGCAAGAAATCCACCTATGAAAGCAATCACTGAGCTCCTCTCTGCCCAAATCAGCCCTCGGAGGGCCCTGTGCTACGTCCAGGAGCTGAGCTAGCTGCTCAGCACAGGAGATCTTGTTTAACAGGCATCACAGCCCTGCAAGGTGGGTATGATGAGCCCATTTCCAGATGGGATCACTGAGGTTAGGGAACTTGTCCAAGGTCACATGTTTGTAGGCAGTACAGCCAGAATTTGAACGTCTGACTCCAAGATTATATACTTTCTATTAACCATGATGTCCCACTATCATTCAGAGGAAATGAATGAATTTGAGGTCCTAAAAGTAAAGCCTGGAGTCAGATACCTGGTTCAAAGCCGATTTCTACCACTTACTACCTGCATGACCTTGAGCAAGGGATTTAACTTCTTCAAATCTTCATCTCCTCATCTGTGCAATGGAAATCAAAAGTAACACCTACCTCATTGATTCGTTGTGAGGATTAAATCAGTTAAAATATGTAACATTCTTAACTCAATGCCTGGCACATACCTAGTTTCCAGCTAGTGGCATATCTTCTTCTTATTACCTATTGAATCTGCTTTTAGAGAGTCATTTAATCAAATACTATAAAAACATACCACAACCTGGAAAGATCTGGGTAGGAGAAAAGAAAAGAATCTGGACATAAGAGGAGGTAAGCCTCAGCATGAGAAAAATGTTCGCCCAAGATCTGCCACTTTTCACGTGGAATTAGTTGCAAAGGACTCAGGGCTGTGATATGATTTCCAAAGAGGAAGGAGTCCCTGCAGGATGAAAGAAAGGTTTCTTGGAAAAGGTGATGCTTCAGCTGAACCTTCAAGAACAAGATGGTTCCAGATGGGGGGGGGGTAGTGGGCAGTAGGCATGGGACTGCCTGAGGGTGAAACACGTGGCATAAACAGCAAGACCAACTGGATGAATACAGGATTTAGGCCAAGGGGGAAAAAGGTTCTAAAAGTAGATTAGGACGAAGCAGGAGAGAGTCTTTGTGTTCCTTGTTAAAGGGTTTGGACGCTATCATACAGGAGGTGAGAACCTGGTGATTGTGTTTGATGGAGAGGAGGGTAAATATTTTAGGAAGATTACCAATAGTGATACATTGTGGATTGTTGGCTTCCATCTTTACCTGGCTAGTTACCACAACATACAATTTTGCATGAATGAAGGTCCTTAGGGTTCTATGGGTGATAATATCCAAGGAGATTTTTTTGTCGCTTAAAAACTCAAGTAAACAATTAGAAAAATAAGTTCAGTTGCATAGGGAATGATGTGGCTCCAATCTTCGCTAAATCCAATTTAGAGCAAGGAACAAGTCTTCCCTCTGCTTGGAGCTTTCTGCCCCTACTCTCAAGGACTGCCAATTCAAAGAATAAACACAGAAGTTTTTTTTCTTTACATAATTTTTCTTCTGGGGTCTTGAACTCCTGAAGGAGTGCCAGGCACAGGCAGCCATAGCGGTCTGGGATGTGGAAGGGAGGGTAAGAAGGGGCAGGCAGGAATTATGCGGCAGATTTCGGCAGCTGTCACTCTTTATACTGCAGAAGCATCAATTCCCGTGACTGCCTCATCGGTGCTAAAGCACCAAGGATGAAATGATCTATGCTCTCCGACTGCACTGTGCAAGAAGGTGGGCCCCTAGCCCCATGGGGCCAATGGAATTTAAATTAATTTAAATTATGTAAAATAAAAAATTCAGTTCCCCATCACGCTAACGATTAACAATCACATGATGGTAGTGTCTATCGTATCGCACTGCATAGATTTGGAATATTTTCATCTTTATAAAATGTTCTGTTGGACAGAGCTGAGTCTAATCTAGAAGCCTGTGTAGGAATCAACTGGGAATTTGCTAGGGAAAATGCAGAATCTCCGGCCCCACCCCAGACCTACTGAGCCAGAATTTGCATTTTGTCAAGTGTCCCAGGTGACTCATATGCACATTACAGTTTGAGAAGCACCAGTCCAGAGTCACTAAACTGCCTTGGCTTTTACTTGAAAAATGTCCCCCTATTCAGAATACTTCATTTGGCAGGAAGGATATGCAGGGGACAGGATAGAGGCACACACTAAGATCTACATGCAGCCACTTTGTCCTCAGAAGTACCTGGTAAAGTCCTACTGGGGCATGAAACAGCTCTTCCCTCTGCTGGCTCTTGACAAAGGAGCTCAAGTCTCCAGAAATCATCCCGCTAGCCGAGCGGCTACTGTTCTCTGTAGACACAGGCTTGCTTCTCTGGGCCAGCTGTAAAACAGGACGTGATTCGGTTGTTCTCGGTAGCATGACCAAGCCGAGGGCTGAAGACACGGTGCCTTTCACAGATGAGAAAAATCAACACCCAGCTGAGTAACAGTTAATAAATGAGAGTCAGGACTCAAAGTCTGATCTCTCACACCCAGTGTGAGTGCTTAACTGCTATAACGACCACTCTTGTGCCTGAACCACCACGGACGATGCTGCAGTTAAGACTCTGGGGTCAGGCTGTCCACATTCAAGTTCTAGCCTGGCATTCAACTTCATGATGTCAGAGTCATTTTCCTAAATGAGCATCTAGGGAGGGGACCTCTCTGTTCAAAACCCCCAGTGCCTCTCCAACACTTAGAGAATGTGTTTTAGACAGAGGAACACCGTTTTTCAGGGAGAGTCTTACCTGGAACCCTAACCAAGAAACTGAGCTGCTTTGGCTGAAGAGGAAGATGGAAGACCCAGCATTCCTCCCCACTACCCCTCTTCCTCGATCCATCATTCAACCAAGACCAGATTAGTGAGCCCCAGAATCTCCAGGGACACTTGAAAATGACTAATAAATGAACCCTAATCTCCTGGTCATAGCATGTTGAAGCCTCCTTGACATGGTACCTGCCCAACCACCTTTTTTTTTTAAAGTCATGATTCATTTACTCAAGAATACTAATAAAAGAAAAGTAATACTACAAACTACAATTTTGAAAATAAAGCCAATATGACAGGAATAAAATATATATAACATGAGAGAAATGTTTGGTTTTGACCCATAATGCTTTCTTGATCCTTGCAATTAATCTAAATGTCTTTAGAACAAGCCTGTATACCTTGGTCTAACTTGAGCACTTTTCTAACAAACAAAAACATACTAGAGCACTTTTCTTTTGCTCTGAGATATTTAAGAGTCATACGCTTGTTCAAGTACACAGATATTGATTCAATAGTTAAGCTGCATATTTTGTTTTTCTCTTAACATCTTGAGTAGCATGTATTCCTGAGCACGTACTGTCTAAAATTCTAAAGTTGCAGAACTTTGAAATAAAATTTATTTTGGTTGTGTGTTTTTAATCACTTGAGAGGAAAGTAAAATTCACCCCTTCCCTTCACCTCTCCCCAGGAACAAAGAGCTCCTATGAAAGTGTAGAAACCCAGGTCTATCTTTCTACTGTAAGGAACATTTCTTACTAACTTTTCTGGGAAGACAATAAGTGGTCCAGAATGATCAATATATGCTTACAAAGATTACACTGTTTAATGTCAATGGCCACAACAAAGCGAGAAAGAAAAAAGGAAAGGAAGAAAAAACACTTCACAATTTCAAGCTAAAATCTGCGCAGAAGATAGTCATGGCTGTATTTTCTGGAATGATGTAAACTTCGTATACTTACTGAATAATGTCATGCTTATTACATGTGCCCCAAGCCTTAAAGCCCTGAGCAGCCCACACCTTGGTATACCCTGCATTGCTTCTCTCCCGGTCACCGCTAGCAAGCCCACTCTCCTCAGTGTCACCTCTCTGAAGCCTTCACGATGCTGCGACATTTAATCCCTCCACCTGCAGGGCTTCTGCCTCACCTTGTAGACACCTTCCAGAGTGCTTACCTCCCTTGGAAGGCATTCATTTGTCCTGCCTGACATTATGCTGGGCCTTGCTCCACACATGTGTGTTGAGCAAATGGATTGTATTGTCTTAGTTATTGGTAGATTAAGGGAGTGAATGTGGTTTAGAACCAGAACCCAGGGCTCTGGACTCTCCATTAGCTCACTTTATAAATGAGTCAGCCTCCGCTCTCACCAACTCCCAGATGAGACCTCTTCCACAAATCAGCAGCAGTGAGCAGGAAGGTGAACGTCTGGGCCGGGTGCGGCCTCACCTTGCTCCGGGGCAGAATGGTGACATCATCATAATTGATTTGCCACCAAATGTCTTTCCTTTGCCTCTGCAATGTTCCCCTCTTTATCCTTAACATCAGACCTATGATGACAGCTCCCAGGACAGTAATCCTGAGGGTTAGCGGGAAAATCACAGCAGTCACACCTGGAGGGCAGAGACATTATTACTCAGGCCTGGCTGAGCAGAACTGAGCACACTGGGGCCCCAGCCCAGCCCTGCCAAACAGATGACTCAAAGGCTGCCCAGACACAGGTCCGAGTTAGGACATACAGAGTCTGCTCCAAGCTGTCTCTGCCAGGAATCCTTTCCTGACCACCCCTCTGGTTCCCATGGTAACCACACTCACCTCTTTCTTAGAAACCTCCACTGTAGAGCAAGAAAAAGATGACTTCTAATACCATCACCACTTCCACTCAACAGACCTCACACTTACTCTCACTTGTTCTCAGTGATGATCCACCTAATTCCAGGCCTGGGCTCTGAACCACCGGGCGATACTTCCTTCCCCACACTCTATCTCCTTAGAAATGAAGTTCCTGAGACTCAAATCTCACTAGCCAGTTTTCTCTAGAGCAGAGCTTCTCAACAGGGGAGGTGGGTGATGTTGCCTCTCCAGAGGATATCTGACAATGTCTGGAGACATTTGGGTTGTTACAGCTAGAGAGGGCTGCTGGCCTCCAGTGGATGGAGACCAGAGATGCAGCTAGGCCTTCTAATACACACAGGACAGCCCCTGACTTGCCCTCCTTCACACACAAACAAAGGTTATCAGCCCGAAACGCCAATGGTGCTGCCGCTGCTGTGAAGCCCTGCTGGAGAGAATCCTTTTCGGCTGCCTTCTCTAGGTGGCCATACTGACCTGTAATAGCAGGCTCAGTTTCATAGAGTTCATTGGAAAATCCACAGCCAGGTTCATCTTTAGGAAGGGAGCCACGGCGCCAAGTAACAGTGGAGAAGTTCCTTGTGAGTCTTAAAAAAAAAAAAAAAGGAGAAGAAAACAATGAAAGGTCAGTGCCCACTTGATTTATTCTACTTGTCTCTACTTCAGGCAACTGAAGCACATATTTGCGAAAAGCAGGCCTTGGTCTCTTAATTCAAACATCTGCTGACCTACCCAGTTTTCCCACCTCACCTAGACTCTTCAAACCCAGCCCCCAGGTAGTATAATTCATGGAAGAGCAGATTTTTGTTGCTAGGTGGCATAGCTGACTCTGTTGTTTGATTTAAACCATGGATTGATTGATTTAAAAGATGATGCATCAATCCCCCAATGTTGCTGAGATTTTGTCCCATGTTTGATGTGGACAAATCTTGTTACAAAGCACGGTGACATTTCACAGACCACAACGGTCTGGATGGAGAATGCCTGTGCTTACAGTACTGAGTTTGTCACGGTTGGTTGACTTCTTGGGCCAACCCATTTGGGGACATTAAAGTTCTGTAAGAGTAGGAGAGAGGAGTGTCAGATCAAATCCGGACTGTGAGTGGTGGCAGTGGGAGGCAAGGAGAAACTGAATTAAGGTTGAATTTCCCATGTATTTGCTCACTGATTTACAGCTGAGAGAACAGAAACAGATCCCCCCTGCCCCCCGGAATTTCTAGGTACTGGGAGCCCAGGATGGCATACAGGTCCTGGTATCCCCATGGTTCTGTTTTGGAGTCAGGCTACCTGAGTGAGTTGGTTTCACGGATCATGAATCTTACCCTGAAGGGGCACCCTGCTCCATCACCCCCCTGGCCAGGACCTCTCCAGGAGACCCTAGAGCTGTAGTACCAGTCCAGCTGGAGCATCAGAGGAGGCCCAGGCCCACGTGGAGGTGCAGGCAAGGGTGCTATTAAAACTGTTTTCTGAAATGGCCAAGCCACACCCACAGTCAAGGGCAGGATACCCTTGAAAGCCCAAAGTCCATCTTTATGAGTTCAGAAAGCACCAGACAACTTGTGGTGGATTTTAGTAGCTGGATCTCACACCGGCCTCCCAGCAGGACCCCAGCCCTCCCTCTCCTCCCAGGGCTCTTCCCCTAGCACGAGCTAAACTCAGGGAAAGGCCCTGCCATACCTGACAGCTTCCTGAGAGCTGTGGTACTGAAGAAGAGGAAGCAAAAGGGACCCACTTCAGGATTTCTGTAGGGCATAGACCGAGTAATCCATGCGCCTTTCTCCCCGGGGATCCACAAACACGGGGCCGGTGATTCCTGGAGAGGAGATTGGTCACGGTGAGGAGGACAGAGAAGGACTCGTGGATCAAAACAGCAGCCTGCGGATTGATATTTGCAGATCTCCCTCCCTGGCAGCCACTGAAAGCCGGCAGTGAGGTTTTTGTCATTTCAGGGAATCTGACAGACGATGGTCAGGAAGGAGAGTGAGAAAAAGAGAGAGTGCAGAAGTGGTGCCCTGGTGGGGCTCAAGGGCCACATTGGGCAGGCGGATGTATTTTGTTAGGCCTCTACCCAGGAGGCTCATTCGGCATTAAAAGAAAAAAAAAAGAAAAGTTAAGTAGTTTCCAACTAATTTCACATAAAACCCAAGATTAATGCTTCCCTGGGAAAATCGGATGTGACAAAAGAAGGCCAAAGGACATGGCAGCACTTGGCTGGGGCTGCCCCTCCTCCCAGCCCGTACGGTTCTCCTCACCTCGCGTCCTCCCCGCGCTGCGGAGCCCCGAGCACTAGGTTGCAAGCTTTGTTCTTAGCGCGGGCCCTTCCTTCCCGGTCTTAGTTTGTGCTCGGCTCGGCGCTCAGGCCTGGCCCGGGTGCGTTCCTCAGTCTTGCTCGGAATGTGCCCTATCCCACGCACGAAGGACGCATCGGAGATCACGGAGGAGTAACGCACTGCAGGTCCCACACCCCAGACTAGGACCCGAGGTCCGACATAGGACTCACTGACCATTAATTCCCACTGAGGACAGGACACAAAATTACCATTCGTAAGCACCGGGCACTGCGGGATGCAGTGACTTCACACGTCACATGCAGTGGACCCTGCGGGGGAGGCACTATCTCTCACTCTTAACAAGCAGGGCTCTAAGGCGCAAGCTGCCCCGAGTTCCCACAGGGCCTCAAGCGCGTGTTCTTCCCAGCACCGCCCGGGCCTCGCTGTGCGCACGCGCACTGGCGTCCCGCACGTGGGACTTGAGTTTGCGCAGAGGCGGCGGCAGCGCGGCGAATGCAAAAACCAGGATAGAACCAGGAAGTAGACGTGGCAGAGGGAATGAAACTGAGAGCGGGGAGACAGACTCCCCCCACCTCCTCCTCTTTTTCAGCAAACGCTTCAGGGTCAGGAAGAAAAGAAGGGAGAAAAGCAGGTTAACATTTGCACTTGGAAAAGGTATGGGTGGGGTCATTGTGAGCTGACCCTATGAACGCCCCAAAGAGCAGGACTTGGCTGTCCTCTTTACATTTTAGGACAAAGTGTAAGAGAATGAAAAGCCGAAAAAAGATAAATAGTTGCCGTTTAATGAGCACATACTATATGCCAAGCACTTGACCTATTAATTACTCCTCAGTGTTGCACAGCGGGGAAGAACAAGAGCCCTGGAAATAGGCAGCCCTTATTTGGAATTCGGCCTCCAGCATCTAGTAATTTTGTGACCTTGGGCGAGTACATAACCGTTCTACCCTGTGTTCGCCACCTCTATGGTATATTACAAATAGTAATAGCACCACCTCATGGGTAGTGTGAGGGTTAAATGAGAGGACACAGAATCTATTGGCACGGAGCTTGGTATAAGGTAAGCCCTCTGCAAATGCTGCTTTTTATTATTTACGATCATTAGATATGGCAGGAGATATTATCTCTGTCTTACAAAATAGAAAGCTGAAGTACAGCAAGCTGATAGCTCTTGGCCAGCTCCCGGAGTGATTTCGAAACAGTTTGCTTCCAAATCTCTGCTCACCCCGACAAGAAAAATAAAATAGGACCAGCCCCATCTTTAGAGGCTGATGGTCCCAGCTCAGGCCCAGCACTGCCTCAGGGAAAATGCAGGTTGAGAAAGGATCATGGCAGTGACCTCCGGAGGCCGATCTCACCCTCTTGAGTTTTATCCTTGGTGGATTCAGTTTGAAAGGAACTGTAGGACAGACTTTTCAGGGTGGGGGAAAAGATACCCTAGAGGCCCCCCACCCCCCACCTGGTGTGGGTAGCCGTCTGGACAGAGCAGGAAGAGCAGCTGGGAGGTTTCACCTCAACCACCCCTTCCAGAAGACAGGAATCTCCATGAGCAAGAGGAATTCTGTGATCACATGCCCAGCATCTCCAAGCCCCACAGACTGAAGCAGCCGGCCTGAGTTCTGAAAACCCACCGTCGTCAAACCACTTGCCCCGAAAGGCAGTCTGATTGGAGCCTTTCAGAGTGAGGACCAGCTGCCGCCCATCACGGAAATCCCTTCCGGCCTTTATCATCTCCTTCACCGTCTGAGCATACAGCAGGACCGCGTCATAAAGGTAGGCAGAGTAGCAGTTCACCTTCGGTGAGGGAAGCAAAAGCAGATTTTAAAAGGCCCACAGCCTCCTATGTCGCAGTCTGGGCTCAGTTAGAAGGACTCTTTCTCCATCCTCTTAACAGTGTAACATAACACACGTTCTCCATCATTCCACAGAGAAAGGCGGGCCCTTCACCTGTCTGGGCCTGTGCTATTAAACCTAGATAACACAGTCTGCACTTTCCCTCTTTATGTCTCGTTTCATCAATTAGATTACATGATCCTTTGGGTCAGGAGCAGCTTTTTAGGCCATAAGCAGGAGGAAATATGGCTTAATTGAAAGAAGGTAGATTTTGGAGCCAGGCTGGCCCTGCTACTTACTCAGTGTGAGACTTGGGTGTATGTTTCAGAAACACTCTGAATCTCAGCTCAGTCATTTATAAGATGGGGATAAAGCCATTGTTGTGGTGATTATGAAGATAGTTCAATGAGGAAGAATAGGTATAGTACCTAGTGCACCACCCAGCATGTAGTAGGTCTTCAATACCTCATTTAATCAACACAAATGCAAGTGCCTACTAAGTGCTAAGCACTGTTCCCTCCTTGGAACCTGGTACAGAAGGGACACTTAGTAGATGACTCCACAGATACTCATTGATGGATCATCTCTTCTTATGTGGTGGCCCACAATTGGCCACCTCATTCCTAATGGAATCCCTGTCATCAGTGGCCTGTCACCTTCAGGCTCAGCTTGGCCCCATTCTGAAAGTAGCTCCAGCTCTGACAATGGTCTGTCTGTAAAAAAATTCTCTGTGGGTGTCAGACACTTTGCCCCATCATCCCACACATGCTAGAACCACCACTGGCTGATCATCTCTCTCCTGGCTGCCTTCTCTCCATTCCAGACCATCTGCTTGCCTCTACCTGCCCTAACTCCGCACCTCTGACTATTCCACTCTCCTTCTTGGTTCCAGCTGGGAAAGGAAATTGTCATGGTCTGAGTGCCCACCATTATCTGTTCTGCTCCTTCCACGTACTGTGTTATTAGATACTCAAAACCACAGCCTGGAAGGCAGATGTCATTATTAGTCTCAGTTTTTGGGTGAAGAGTCTGAGATGGAGGGTGGTTAAACAAATCACCCCCAAGGTCCCACACTTTGTAAATAGCAGAACTAGAATGGAAGCGCTGGTCTCTTACTCTAAAGGCCACCTGCCTTCTCATCTAATAACCTCTGTCCTCTTTGTGGACCTGGTGCAGATTTACAGGACCTCACCAGACCTCTGTGTGTGTGTTAGGAGAGTGGGGAGTGGAAGAAGAAGAGGAGAAATAAGAGGGAAAAAGTAAAGGCCAAACACAGATATCCTCAAGGAAGCAGGGAGGACACATGTTCAGGAGGACCTCTGTCAGACCTGCTCCTCCGTGGAGATGGGGCTGTGGAAGGGCAGCTCCCTCAGCCTTCGGTAGACTTGCTCTCGGAAGCTTTCATCTCCAGGGCCTTCTCCATAGGAGCTGAGGGCTGTGATAAACACTGCCTCATAGACTGTGGGGAAGTGCGTCACTTTCTGGTCTGTCAATACTTCCTTCCAAAATCCGTCCTGAAAAGTAATGAAAGAAAGGTAGCCGTTCTGTAGGACATACCCTGAACAAGGGAACTTTGTCAAAACAACATCGAATTTGAATTTCTGCATTCTAACCCTTGGAAATACAATGGCTCCTGGAAGGCATGCCAGGCCAAGTCTGTTTTTTTTTTCTTAGCGTGGAAGCAATGGGAAAGGAAATCCAAAAAGTCAGTCAATAAGAAAAGCTTACCTGGGACATCAAGCGGCTAAGATGCAGGAAACTTACCTTTTAACAATGGATGGCAGAAACCTGAAAAACTTAGGATTATCGATTCTCCATTTTCTGCTTGTGGCTTAAGTGTTTTTTTCTTTTAATTATCATTATTACCTCTGTTATTACTGTTTTGAAAGTAATACCCCCTCATTGTGTGTACACATGTGAAAGACAGTGAGATCTGCCCCAGTCTCCCCATTGCTCCCTCCTGTTTGCTCTGAGAGGTATATGAATGTTCTAGACATGCACAGAGGGGTGTCTGAGTGAGTGTGCTTTTTACGTAAAGGGTGCCGTGCAATGATGCTGTTGTGCAGCTTGATTGTCTCGACTTAAGCCTATACTGGGAACACTCTCAGGGAATGAATTTAAAGCAGCATGAATTCCATTGCCTGGATGTGGTGTGGTCTATTTGTAGTCCTATATTTTTTCTGCACTATCGGCCAGTTGATATTAGATCATCCAGGTTTGGGGAGAAAGTGATGAGGGGGTTGGAAGCGCTTGCATCATCACTCCTTCTCATCCTTCTCATCTGTCTGAAGGCAGAGGTGAGAGGACACATGAAGAGGAAGGGTGGACAGCAATGAACAGGGAAGGCAGGAGGGTGTCCTGGAAAGTCTGGTCTAGGATTAGAATTCCAACTGGCTGCCCACTTGGGCCACTGAGACACTTTTGGCAGTCTGAAACCCTTCATGATAAAAGTTATTATGCGGGAACGTTATTTTGCATCTTCCTGTCCTCCCTTTTGCCCCATTTCTGTTTTTTAGGATCCTATAAAACAAGTTCCTTTTAAAAAGATAAAACTGCTGGAAAAATTATGCAGTGTGCCCATGACTAATGCAAGGGGCTTTATTTTTTAGAAGCCTGCTGGTGTAGTGTGGTGGTTAAATGTATAGACACTAAGGCCAGCCCTCCTGATTTGACTGCTAGGTCTCCCTCATACTAGTTGTGTGGTTTGGGACAAATTATTTCATGTCTCAGGGCTTCAGTTTCCTCATCTGCAAAGCGAGGAAAATAAAAGCATCTCCCCACAGGGTGGTGTGAGCTGAAATGAGTTTTAGTGTATCACGTGCTCACAGTGAGACCCAGGACCCAGTACACACTCCACAAGGCAGCACCACTGGGGCAAAGGGCCCCATCCCAGAGTCCAAAAGACCTGGTTTGGAAGGCCAGCTGTGTCACTTAGGGATTCTGAGATCTTGGGTAAAGTTCCTTATTAATCTAAACCTCAATTTGTTCATCTGTAAGTTGGAATGCTAATAATCTCTACCTTACAAGGCTGTTGGAAATGTCGGCTACAGTGATGCACGTAGATACTGCATGGACTGTCTGCCTCTTGGGGCTGCTGGGAAAATCTAGCGCATGGGTGTATGTACAGTGTATCACTCGTTACTCATAGGAGGTACCTAGTACATTTCAGCCATCCCTGTCATTCCAGAAAGAACCAAACCACCTGCAAGTTGCCTCATTGAAGCAGTGTGTGGGCCTCTCCAGGCCTTTGTTGGGGCTCAAACTAAGGTGGCTGTGGAAGAAAAGGAAGTAAGAGCTATTTGTGTTTGAGAGCCTTTGGGGAGGTCTCAGCTACCCTGCACGAGTGACAGTTCTTCCTCAACTGGTATTTGCTGACATCGACTACAGAGGGCCAGACTCCAGAGCCAGCAGCCTGGTTCAAGGCCTGGCTCCCCACTCAGTAACTGTACAAGGAACTCTGATTAAGTGCCTTCAGCTCAGCCTCAGAATCCTGATCTTAAGATGAGGACACACGATTGGCTGCCCTCTAGGCTTGTAGTGAGTATTCAGTGAGCTAATGCATCTGGCGCGTTGCCAGTGCTTTGTACCTATTACCTCTTACTGCGAGGGGCCGTTGAGGGGCCATCGGCACCCACCTCCAACTGCTGCAAAATGATGAAGACGAATTCCCCAGTGTGGAGTCCCAGGTTCTCTGCAGCCATCAGAATCATTTTGGCATCTTCTTAGCTGGAGATTAAGATGATAACTAAAAGAGAAAACAGTCGGCCAACAGGACATGGTCACGTGCCACGCACGCACATGTTTTAAAGTCTAGCCTGAAGCCGCTGCAAATGAGACATGAGCTTTTTCTTTCCTTGAGCATGCTTTCCTAGGAAACAGGAATGCCTAAGCTGTTCCTGGGAATAAACTTCTCAAACCATGACGGGAATATACAAACGGGCAGATTTTGCCCTGCAGAACTGAAGTCTTCGCTGTGGCTCTCCCCCCAAGTACAAATTGAAAGAGTCTGAGACCACGTCTATGCTCTAGTTTCTTCATTTAATTGACTCACAGCCGCAGGTCTGGCTAGTGACTCATCATCAGGTCGGAGGAGCTGGCAGAGGACCTGGAATCGGGCACGTTCAGACTGTCTGCGTTGGGGCGGGGGGAGGCAAGAAGCGGGCCGTGGTGTTTTTCTTCCGTCTAAACATGTCAGCATGGATTTTCAGAACACACAAATGAAATAGCGATTGATTTTTTTTAGTGAGATAAATTGAATTCTATTTATCTGAGCTCCAAACAGGTGCCAGGCAATGTGCTAAGCACAGGATACAGCAGTGAGCAAAAGAGAGGGCCCTCGTTCTCAGGAAGCTGACAGTCAGACAGACAATATACAAATGAAGAGAGTGAAGAGATCATTCAAGATTCTAATTATGAAGGGGGAAAAGAATACTGTGATACTACCCGTGGGGTCGGGGGGACAGCTCTACATGGAGAAGTCAGCAAAGGCCCCTCGGAGGAGGTGGGCTCTGGGCTGAGTCTGGAGAGATCAGAGGAAGCCTCTGATCAGTGGAAAGAGCACTGCGGTGGGTGCGAGGTGGGATTGCAGGTGGCACTCCAGGCCAAGGGATCAGCACGTCTCAAAGTCCCAAGGCCAGAAGGAGCTTAGCTTATCTGAAGAACGGAATTAGTTACTAATTCATGCTAATAAAAAGTACAGCCTTATAAGCACCACGACGAAAATGTTCACTCCCATATGTTGATCAGTGACTGTGTCCAGCACTTTCTAGGCATGACCTTATTTAATCCTCACTGTTCTGTGAGGTAGGCAACATTAGAGTGAGTGATGAGTCCGTGTACAACAGCACCAAGTCCAAACAATCAACAAGTTGGTTCATGAACATCAACAAGTTAGTGAGTGAACTAATGATATTGATTTGAAAGGTTTTCCTTAAAGAGAATGGTCTAATTGCATCTCAAAGAAATGATACCCCAGACCTACATAGTTATCATTTATCACACTTAGTAGGAACTCAGTAAAGGAGTGCTCTAAATGGGTGTGTCATTGCTTAAGTCAGGATCTCAAGACTAGGATTCTGGTGAGGGTAGAGCACATGCTTAGCTTGCATTTGGTCCTGGGTTCAATCCCCAGTACCTCTGTTAAAATACATATGTATCGTCTTATAATAATGCCATCCAAGTCAAGAGATTCAAGTCTATACCATCATCTTTAAGACCACCCTTTCCAATGGATTCTGGGTGGTAGAAGTTATAGGTGTTTTTTTCTTCTCTTTGCTTAATTTTCACATTTTTAATCTTCATGTCTTTGCAACAAGGAAGAAAAGTGAAAATTTTAATTAAAAGTGAATGCTACAGACATGCATTTGCAGAGTGAAAGCACAGGGGGTTAAACTTATGCTGTCTGAATTCCCAGGTCAGGAGCACTTCATGCCAGTCTGGGCCCTCACACTTACAGGCACATGGCCTACCCCTGTGGGACCTAACTATTCTCTGCTGAGCTCAGCTCCTTCTATTTCTCCATTGGCCTCAGAGGGAGAGAGAGACAGAGATGTGGTGGTCCAGGCAATGGTGATCATCATCTGGAAACCACTGCTGTGGTAACAGGCCTACCCACTTTGTGCGAAGTACTTGATTGGCTGGAGTAGCAAAGTTGGAGGTTAAAACCTGCTTAGGGAGATTGGTAGGGACTGTGGCTGCTGGAGAGGGCGCGCTGTTCTCCCCTTTGCTCCTCCAGCCCCGCTCTCTTCTAGGAGCTTCTTATGCCTGCAAGTTACTAGTCTGTGGTAGTTGATGGGGGAAGCCACGTTGTCTCATCCCACGATGCTTTGGAACAAAAGAGATCTGTGCTTGGCTCCCAGAGGTGCAGAGCTCGGTCCCCTCGGTCAGTGGGCCTAGCACTTTGATTCCTACATACTTTATCCCATCTCTGTTTCCTAAAAAGATAATTACAGAGGATTCTTTCTTCCTAATTTATAGTTTTCTACCCATAAACCGGGTATAGGGCCAGCTGTTCGGCATCTGAGATCAGATAAGATTAGCTGTATCCAGGGTGATGGAGCTGTTTTCCTCCCTTCCTACTTCCCCTTCCCTCCCTCCAATTTGTAAATCTGTATGTGGCCTGATCATATTTAGAGAAAAAGTAAAGATTTGGAACAATGTGGGTTGGAACTTCTCCAAAAAGCGAGAAGCAGAAAAAGATGTTTGGCGCACTTGGAATGCAGTGAGGTGAGCCTGGCATCGCCTTCAGGAAAGGGCAAAGGGGGAGGCAGCCGTCACTCCTGCCTTCACATTCACACCTTCCTCATCTGGGAAGAGTCATCAGCCTCAGGCTTCCGGAGTGAATGGCTGTATCTGAGCCTCCGTGTTCTATCTATGAAGTGGAAGGTGGTTGAGAGCAAAGAGTTCTGACCTTACGAGCTTCCTGCCCTAAAATCCTAGGACTCTGGTGCATTTACACCCAAGCAAGTACTCCATGCTCGGTGATGGCAACACGTTTCTTTCCAGGTCTCTCTGACAGGTTCCCCAGGGGAGCATTCCTGAAGGTCTACCAACCACCCCAGAGGTAAGAACAAGTTAAAGGAGGCTGTTACCTGTCAGGGAGTGAACTTCAAACTGCCCTGCTGTGTTCTCAGCTCTTGCAAATAGTTATGATGCAGGCACTTAGAAGAAAGCTCCTAGTAAGTAAATGTTTGAAGAGCCATAGGAAAGTAAATGTTGAACTTGTACAAAGAGAGAGACTGTGTTTCTTAGAACTGCACAGAGCAAATTCCTTGGATCCAAAGGTGCTCCTCTAGGTAACTATGCACATTCTATTCCTAGAAGGCTGAGGATGGGCCACTGACCTTGGCTTACTTTTTTTTTTCATTTTCACATTCTTTTTCACCATAAGTCACAACAAGATATTGAATATAGTTTCCTGTGTTATACAGTGTGAATTTGTTGCTTATCTATTTTATATATATATATATATTAATTAGTATCTGCATATCTAAAAATCCCAGTTTATCCCTTCCCACACCTTTCTCCCCCATAACCATAAGTTTGTTTTCTGTATCTGTCAGTCTGTTTCTGTTTTGTAGAGAAGTTCATTTGTCTTTTTTTTTTAGATTCCACATATAAGTGATATCATATGGTGTTTTTCTTTCTCTGACTTACTTCACTTAGAGTAATGAACT